GTAAATGCTATATTTTGGTTGACCGTGAGCAACGCAGAAAGATGGATCCAAAGAGTTATGAAGGAATATTTTTGGGTTACTCTAGAAATAGCAGATACTACAAAGTGTTCAATATCATAACTCAGGTCATGATGGAATCTATCAATGTTGTAATTGATGATTCAACAACTGAAGATATGCGTGAAGCTGAAGATAATGTTGGAACATCATTCCATATGGATAATGACTCTGAAGATGTGGAAAAATATTATGTATAGACTGAGGAGGCTAATGTTGACCCAGATGATAATCAACTCAATAAGGATTCGTCTATTAAGAATGCGGAAAGACCATCCCAAAGAAGTCATTATAGGTAATCCTAATCAAGGGGTCATTACTAGATCAAGGGAAGTGGTTTCTAATTCTTGTTTTGTTTCAAAGATTGAATCCAAGAATGTGAAGGAGTCTTTAACTGATGATTTTTGGATCAATGCCATGAAAAACAAACTGAACCAATTCAAGAGGAATGAAAGTTGGGATCTGGTTTCAAGACCTGATGGGACAAATGTCATTGGAACAAGGTGGGTCTACAAGAATAAAACTAATGAAATAAGAGTAGTCACTAGGAATAAAGAAAGGCTTGTAGCACAAGGCTAGACTCAAGTTGAAGGGCTAGACTTTGATGAAACATTTGCTCCAGTAGCTAGACTTAAATCAATCAGGCTATTGTTAGGAGTGGCATTCGTATTGAAGTTTAAACCATTTCAAATGGACGTGAAAAATTCCTTCCTAATTGGGTTTCTGAATGAAGAGGTTTATGTTGAATAACCTAAGGGGTTTGTCGATCCTACCTATCCAAATCACGTGTTTAAGCTAAAGAAATCCCTTTACGGGCTAAAGCAAGCTCCTAGGGCTTGGTATTAAAGGTTGATAAAGTTTCTGGTCAATAATAGATACAGAAAATGAGGAATAGATAAGACCTTGTTTGTTAGGGAGAAAGATTGAAAACTCATGAGAGCTTAATCTATGTTGATGATATAGTGTTTGGAGGAATTTCAGATAAGATGGTTCAATATTTTGGTAAATAAATGCAGTCAGAATTTGAGATGAGTTTGGTTGGTGAACTAACGTACTTTCTTGTACTTCAAGTTAAACAAATGGATAATTCTATTTTTATTTCTTAATGTAAGTATGCAAAGAATATAGTCAAGAAGTTTGGAATGGAAAATGCTAGTCACAAGGGAACACCTGCACCCACCCATTTGAATTTGAGTAACCTTAGGTTCCGAATCATGTGTGCTTCCACCTAGTGCTTAGTGTTTATCTTTGTTTCCTTCGGTGTTTAGTGTTTCCTTTTGTGCTTACATATTTGGTATATTGACTGTGTGTATTATGTGCCTATGGCAACTTGTGATTTTATAGTTCTGTGTGCTATGTGTAAACTTACTTTATTCTTTTTTTGTCAATATTTTGGCCAAAAAGGAGGAGTAATATGTTGGGTTCTTTATGGTTTCCTATGCAACTATTTAGGGGGAGAATAGTAGTCTTTTTTTTTTGTGCTTCTGCTGCTGCTGCCACTGATGTAGCTATATGTGCAGGATGAGAATGTCTTACCAGATGTTCCAACATCCCGTGTCTATATGTGATATGGGTTTCTCCTTGAGGGGGAGAACCTATTATATGTGACATGGGTAGTGCTCTGACTGTATGTCTAGCTGTTGTGACTCTGATATTTATATCTTTATATGTAGCTTGCTTTTATTTGTGGTTTTATTCCTCTCTCATGGTTCTTTTGTGCTAAGAATGTTTTAGCCAAAAATTTTCCAAAAGGGGATATTGTTAGTAACAAGTTTATTGGATTGGAATAATTTTTGCTAAAACATGGTCTGTCATAACAAGTCTGTTGTTATGTTATTTTCAGTCAGATGTCGAAGACAATGTCATTACAGTTTGGTCTGGTGCAGTAGATTATGTTGTTTGATTGATTCTTGACAGATTTTAAATGATTCTTTGAGATTCCTTTTTGGTTTATCTCACTATTTTTTTGCAAGTCAAGGATTTTTAAATCTGGAACAAATATCATCTCCATCTGTTTACAGGTTGCTAAAATTGGTTGATTGAGACTAATTAGGAAACCTTGTGTTTTGTTCCAAGATTCATGGAGATTTTCCTGCACAGATTTGTGCACTCCTCAGCATGGACAACAAGGAATATTTGGGCGCGGCTGCAAGGCCCAAGAGTTGCTGAGAGTATTTAAAGAAACTACTTAGACCTAATGAAGCAAGCAATCTGAAAATAAGGGAAAGCCGTATTTTCTCAGCCTTATGGTCTGAGGATTCTTCAAGAAAGTTTTTGTTTTGTTTGTACGTTCTTGTGTATCTCTTGATGTACTTGAGTTGATTGATTGTACTTGACATTTTGTCAAGTTATTGTTCTCCTCGAAGCTGTGAAACAATAGTGAGGATTGTTCTTGGTCAAAGCTTTTAAGCAAGACTAAGTATTGTGATTGAAGTGTAAAGTTCAGTTTGGTTTTGGTTTCAAGTTGCTATGACTATGACTTATTTATAGACAACCCTTGTGATTGGGATAGGTCTTTTATCACTGCGATGATTGGAAGTGGGATGTCGATTTCTCATATCTAGGGAGGACCTAGGTAGAAGTTGTAATAGATATGAATTAGGCGATAAGTTATAAACAAGGAAGTTTAACTTTGAACTAGTACAACTGATAGTGGATTTCCTTCCTGACTTAGTAGCCCTCAGAGTAGGTGAGTTAGCATCGAACTGGGTTAACATATCATTCTATTCTTTACTTTCTGCAAGTTATTTTTCTACATTGTTGTTATTTTTGTTGTACTATTAGTATATGCTATAACATCTGTCTTGACATTGTTTGTTGTTGAGACATCAGTCTTGACTTCTAATACATTGTGCATGCCAGAATTTCAAAAATAATTGTTGATTAAAATAAAACAAATATTGTCTTGATAGTGACTGTGAGATGAAAAGTTAGTTGTCTACACTGTTAATATTATTCAATTTGATAAAATATATAATGTATTTAGATGCACATGTAAATTTAAAATGAGTTATTAAATTGTAAAATGAACAATAATTGTATACAATCAATTGTTTTAAGTAATCATATAAAAGAAGAAAAAAATTTGAGATAGAGAAAGAAAAAAATTGACATTTGAAAATAAGAGTTTTTTCTCTCAAAGTAAAACAATTATTGATTAAAAATAAAATAGGTATTATGTTGATAATGATTGTTATTTTTCTGAATAATTTGATTAAATAATTTATTTATTTTATAATTATGAATTGTTTTTTAGTAACTAAAAAATAATTTTTTAATAATCATAAAATAATTATGTTTTCTGTAGAGGTTATATTTCGTGTTTTGAAAATTTAATAATTTTTTGTGTTCCTATTCATTTCAGTGAAAAGAGGTACAATTATTTATTTATTTATTCTTAAAAAAAGAAAAGGGAAAGAGAAAGAGAAAATAAAGAGCGATAATTTTAAAATGAAAATAAGAAAGTGAGAGAAATTTGAATTTAAATCAAAAGAATAAAAAGAAAAGAAAAAAAGTTGAAGTTAAAAAAATGAGTAAATATGATAGAGCCACGTGTCATATTATGGTTGATTTAGAATGAGAATAAATGTCTCATTAACTAATTAATAAATAGTCTCAAATGTAGTGTAAATATTAATAAGATAAAAGATTAATTTAGGACTTTCGGAAGAATCAATTAACTTATTACTTAATAGTCCTAATTAACTAATTACTCAATAGTGTCAATCAATTGTTCTATTGATTGATATGTTGACCCAACTAACTTTTACCTTACCATAAGAATTACAATTATCAGTTTTCCTATTTCATGCATTATCATGCAACAATCATTAGTTGCTCTATATCAGCTCATGTCTCAAGACTAATCTATGATGCAACACAGTGAGATATTTATTTATACATAAAAATAAATAAAATCTATCACGGATATGAGACAGATAGTTTAATAGACATCTGTAAATAAAATAAATGAATATTTAAATACATATTTTTAATAGATATAAATACCAGTTTAATGATACTCGTGTCCGCATGTATCTATATCCGTTAACTAATAATAAAAATTATTTAAGTATCATTATTTTATTATACTCTATCTTTTTATTATATTCTAATTATAAAGACATTTGAGTATTTTTCTTTTAAAATTTTCTTCGAAGAAAACCTTTTACATTATATACAAATTTGATTGGTCATTACATTACATATATACATTTTATATGAATATTATGTTTAGATTATATTATGTTTTAGAGGAAAAGAAGAAAATTAATATAATAAAATTTTGTTGTAAAAATAAAAATAAATTATATAGATGATATGTGATAATAGCTGTTTTTAAAAGAAGTTGAAAATATTTTTAAAAAAAAATATTATTCGTAAATATAAATATATATGAATATGTTTTGTGAATTATACATTTAACATATACCTAAACAAATATAAAATAGATACGAATATCATATTTATCTATTAGAACGAACACGGATATCATACTATCTATTTTCATAAGTATTAATTTACATTCCTACATGATACTACTAAGTAGCTACTAATTGAAATAATTAATCAATTCAATATAAATATTTATAAAAGAAAATTTTTATTGAGGTCCATGCCGACCCGACTAACTTTTATCTTACGACAAACATTACATAACAAATATATACTACTAATGGAACAAAAGCTAGTGCTAAATAGATGAGAACAAAAATATTATCTAAGCAAAAGAAAAGAAAAGAAAAATAATATCCATATAAAAAGAAAGATGTATTTGCATTTTAACACATTATAGACAAACAGTGACTCACACATTCAAGATGCTTACTCATTCTCTTATATATGTATGTATATATATACCATGTGAGGCTGTAATCCTGTCCTGAGTCTCCTCTCCTTCTTCCTCTCTTCCATTTCATGCCCCTCAACAAGTATCTCAAAAGATGAATATTAGGTAGGATTATTTCACCAATTGATGAATTTTCTTATTTACTAGTAACAGTTTTCTTATTAAAATGGATTTGAGTTTTTATGCATTGTATTAATTTACAGGAAAAAGATTGATGACATAAGAAGTCTGAGATTAATAACTGCTGTGAAAACTCCATACCTACCAAATGGCGAATTCGACCTCGAAGCATATGATAATTTGGTGAATATACAAATAGAAAATGGTGTTGAAGGAATTCTTGTTGCTGGAACAACTGGTGAAGGCCAACTAATGAGCATAAATGATAAAGTAATGCTAATTGCTCACACAGTCAACTCATTTGGTGATAAAGTAAAAGTCATTGGTAATGCAGGAAGCAACTCAACATCACAAGCAATTACTATAACTGAGCATGGTTTTGCTGTTGGAATGGATGCAGCACTTCATATAAACCCTTACTATGGAAAAACCTCAATGAAAGGTTTGGTTGCACATTACAATAGTTTGCTTTCTATAGGACCTGTTATTATATACAATATACCTTCAAGAACTGCTCAAGATATTCCTCCTAGTGTGGTTGAAATATTGGCTGAAAACCCTAATTTTGTTGGTGTGAAAGAGTGTGTGGGAAATGAGAGGGTGAAAATGTATACTGATAAAGGGATTGTTGTGTGGACAGCAAATGATGAAGAAAGTCATGAGGATAGATGGGAATATGGTGCTGTTGGGAACATGTCTGTTGCTAGTAATTTGATTCCTGGTTTAATGGTGAAGCTTATGGTTGATGGAAATGATCATTTGTTGAATTTGAAGCTTATGCCTTTGTTTGATTGGCTTTGTTTAGAGCCATGTCCAATTGCTTTGAACACTGCTCTTGCTCAACTTGGTGTTATTAAGCCAGTTTTTAGGCTACCAAGTGTGCCTTTGAGTTGGGAGAGAAGGGTTGAGTTTGTGGAATTGGTGAAGGAAATTGGAAGAGAGCATTTTGTGGGAGAAAATAATGTTGAAGTTCTTGATGACCAGGACTTTATCATAGTTGATCGTTATTAGTTTAGATTAATTGTCTTTTTTGATCGTGTGTTGTTTTATGTTACTATTTCCGTTGGGTTTTGAATGATAATAATTTCGTGCATGTTAAAGTGATATAAATGGAAAAGGTAAAACCACCGGAAGAAGCCTATAGAGGAAGGCTTGACCCCTTCAAAAGAGGCAAACCTAAAGTCCATGGAATTATTACTTTAAGACTATTACATATGTAATTAAAGTGAGAATTGTTATGATGGATCCTTATGTGAGAATCGTTGCTGCATTTTAAGACAATTAATTATGATGAATTCTTTTGTGAGAATTCTTACCACCTTTAGGGTTATTACAAATGTTGAATTCATATGTGGGAGTCTTTGTGACCTTAATGGATATTACAAACGCTGAATCCCTATATGGAACCTTCACCGCTCTAAAGTAACATGAGAGGTCATAGTCATCCACAAGAACAACAAATCTTAAACTTGGGTGAGAAAACTCTCTGATGAGTCACAATAGAAAGATAAACAAATAAGAATAAATATAAGGAGCCCTTGAGGGGGATATTCAAAATTACATAAAAGCCCCCTAGAGCTAACCGTCAAGGGAATTGATTACAAAGATAGTAAAGAGAATAATGAATATAGGAGTCTGCAGATCATTTTCCTTCTTCACAAGCCAACTTTTCTTTTGGAGCATGTCTAGGGGAAGTTTCCACTAGAGCAGCATCCTCTATCACCTTGTCACCCTCAGGCTAAAATTGAATATCCTTGATAGAGAAAATGATAGGGTCAGAAGACTAGGGACCATCTGAGACATCCATCAACTGGCCATCATGAACAACGTTGAATATGTCCATGGGGCTCAAATCTAGCTTAGGATATAGAAAGGTTATCTGCTTCTTAGCCCTCTCAAAGTAGATGTCATAGTTTTCTATCAAATCATCCTTCAACATAGATACTTCATCCTCCAACTTTTTTTGAGTGTTGAGGGCATGTCCTAGGAAATCCCGCAACTCGTGTTCTTTGGTAGCAAACTCCTTAGACTTAGACTGAACCTCCTGAAACTTTCTAATCAAGATCTCCTTCTCCTTCTATAAAGTCTCAATTATAGAATGGCCATTAGCAAGGTCCCCTTTGTAGTTAGAAAGTTTCATCTTCAGTTCTTTATCAGCCTTGGCATGTTTCTCTTTAGACACGTTCCATGAGGACCCTTAGCAGGTAGCCCTCCTTGAGATTAGACCGCTTCAGTGAGGGATGATTGCAGACAGACTTATAGTTCCTCCAAAAATATTTAGGGAAAGGAAGGGGGGAACATATAAATTTGATGACGTCAAAGGTGTAATCACTCCACATGGTGGATTAAGTTGGTGAGACCCTCTTTGGAAGAAATCAGAGGGTTCCCTCCCTTTCTGTACCAAAACTTGTGTTGCTTTACCCTTAGGGAGGAGTCAACCTCTTGCCATCGGTTAGGTGCCTCGCCCTCAAGTTGATGTTTGACCCCCGATGGTGCAAACCTTTAAGGTGTCTCTGAGGAAAACCCTAGACATCTTCTATGCAATAAAGAAAAGAAAAATATCAACATGAGTTATGTAGCAACAACAGAAGACACCATCACTAGAGCTTTCTTATATATTTTTCTAGGGATCCATCATCCATTTGGTCAAGAATAATCATGGTGCAAAACTCCATGACTTTAAACTCGTCCAAGGTTTGGACCACCTCAGCCTCATCTGCAATGAGGCAATCATAGTTGTATCATATGATTGATGTAGAATTATCAGTCTAGGCGAATGGAAATTTAGGGTCGTCGTTCGCCCCAGTGATAACTAAAGAGGAATTATCTTGTCCCCTCATCCTCATAAATGTATCCTACCAACCCTTGAAGGGTTTGGAATGGGGTTTGAATAAAGCTCTCCCTGGAAAATTGACTAGGGTTACTCGGCCCCAGGAAACACATGCGTTAGTGTAACCCCTACTCAGTGACATATGATCTCAAATGTCTTAATTAGGCTCCAATCGTTGGGTGTGATTTTGGAGGGCGTCGTGTTGATCACCATAATAACCTTTGTTATAAAGAAGGAAAAGGGGAGGCAAAACCTAACCTCACAAATAGTGGGTAATTGAAATTAAAAGGAAGAAGTGATAGAGGCGTCATAGGCGACCATGTTGGTTGTCTCTGCCAAAGAACATACCTCTAGAATAACTTCTTCTTCATCGGAGAAAGAAAAAGGAAGTTTCTTCCGATGGGATGATGTTTAGTTATTGCTGGTGTAGATGAACCCAAATTCCCTCACGCACTTGGCCTTAGGATTGGAGGTGTCGGTAATATCCATGTTTCCTAGGAAAACATAAGGGAAAGAGGAGTCATTATCACTACCAAAACCGCTATCACTATCGGAATTAAGAGAATAGTGGTGCTTGTAGTGATTGATAAATGGTTTTTGCATCATTTTTGTCATTAGTTTCAACTCGCTATTTCATTGTTTTTATCCGTTTTTCCTTCATTTTACTATGTTTTATGCTTTGGTATTGCTATTTTTATATTTTCAGGCGGTAACATGCATTCTGGAAGTGAAGAGAATCAAATTGGACGAAACGTGAAGAAAACGCAAAATTCAAAATTTCCCAATACAAAAATCAGGAAGCTGTTACGGCACCCGTAATGCCCATTACGCGATGTAACAACATGTGAATCAAAAAGGGGCAAGTTTGTCCGCCCAATATGAAAACCAGGGGCCTGTTATGGGTGAGGGTAATGTGTGTTACGAACCGTAACAGGCAGGTGTGCTTTCACTATTTTTGTTTCCTTTTTCAGTTTGATTAATCGTTGTTTTGGGATTTTTGCATATTCTAATTCAGGTTGATTCTATTTTCAAGGGGCATTGATGTTGATTATTTGTGCCATGTTTAGAATTTTAATATAAAAACTCATAGGTAGTCTTAAGTTTTTATCCTGTTTTTTATTCCAATTTTAGTTTCACGCTCTGTAACTTAAGTCTTTGTTAGAGCACTGGATCAATATAATTCAGGTTTCTATTTTATTATTTTATTATTATTTAATATATTTTCTGTGATAAACTTGGTTTTGTTTGTGCTATTCCTTACCATGAGTGAGTAGTTCTCTAACGACTAAGATTCATGAACTCTATCAATGATTATCCGTATGAACTAACTTAAGTCAATTACGAGAATTAGAACACTTATTTATTTTAAAACCCGATTTTTTGATTTAAACCTCGCTACGAAAGTGGGAGTGTTTTTAGGTGATCTGAAATGATAAGTGTAAACATCGGAAATTAGTTTTTAAACGGTTGAATCCGAAGTCACGAAAGTGATCGAACGAGATTGAGAAATTGTTTCATTTTAATAGTTGTGCAAAAGTAACAATCACTGACGAACATTTCTGCACGAGCGAAAGCTTACGAGTGTCTCCTTCATAAGAGATACCTCAATACGCTAGGGAAAGCATGTATTGTCAACCATGATCTATTTTTCTATAAAATTGTGTTGGAACTCTTGTAATATAAGTGCTTAAGTTGTGCGAAGAACTCATAGAAAGAATTCATGAGCCTAATTTTTGCTTGTCTTATTATAATTTCATTTAAACTATTTCCAAAAGTACTTTTTAAATAAGTTATTTTCCTACTTAAGTGCTTTTTCACTTAAGTTGCTCCTAAAACACCAAATTTCGATTTCTCTAGATATACAATGACATAACAGAGTTCGATGCTCAACCATTGGTCCTTGTGGTTCAATAATCCTTTATTACTTCACATAGCCGTACACTTGCGGCGTATTGTTGGATTGGTAAAGTGGCAAGCAAAAAGTAAAGTATTATTTTTACCGGGTGATATATAGGTTATATCGTATTGTGTCCATAAAGATTGGTGTATTGAAATATCATTCGACAAATCTCTTGTTAATGAGTTTAGAGTTTGAATGAGTTGGTTTGTATAGAAAGGTATCAACAGAAAATAAATGTATAAAAAGGAAAAAAGAATAACTTATCAAGCATGCATATATACTACTTCTCACAGACTTAAACCTATCGACCTGGTATACTAAACCTATAATACTACTCAACATCACCACATATCACTCACAACCTAACTCATTTCTAAACCAAATTGAGAGGCCGACTGTATCACCTCGGTAGAGATCCCTCAACCACCTCAACAACACAAAAGTTAACTGTGCTAATCGCATCGACGATCTCTCAGAGCGACAAAACCAACACATAGGCATTAATCACAGACACCCAAGTGAATGTCAGCTCTAAATGTATCTCTAGAATCCATAAACTAACAGATTATTATCCTAGATAATAATTCAAGCAATATATGTCTATAACAACCCAAATCACGAGCACAGAGCAAAAATTCAAAACAACAATCGACAAAGATTTGTAAAGGAAGTTTTATATAAAACCAAGGGCGACAAATATACATAATATCAAAGTAAATATATATACAAATCCAACCAAAACAGAATACACAAAGAAAAAGAGAAACGGACCATAAATCTACCGGGTTTGTCAGTGTCGATTGAAGATAAATCCACCCCGAATCATCTGTATGCAAGTTTTAGTTGTTATCTAAGCTAATCCTAACAAAATTAGAGGTTGATGGAGTTGTGAGCAAAAACTTCCCCAAAACTATAACACAAAATGAACTGAAAATGAAGTTATAAAACAAATCTCAGCAAACCGCGCTTAGCGGGCTCACTGCACTAAGCGAGCTGCATGATATTTATACATTAAATCGACCTAAACCGCGCTAAGCGGGCTCCAAAACTAAGCTTCTTCCAAAATGTCAAAATGCAAGCAGCGCGCTACAAAATGCACTAAGCGCACTCGCTCTTAGCGGCCTTTTGCGTGCTAAGCAGGCTCTCTTGGGCAAAACTTCTCAAAACTGGTCTTTTATTTTGAAAACGCCCATCCAGAGCTGCTCCTTCGACACCTTATTCCTCGATGCTCCAAAATGAAACAAATGCCTACAAAATGAATGGAAAACATCAAACGGTACA